GCCACATACGTCGTGCTCTCTGTCTCTCTCTCCGCCGCCGACGAACCTCTCTGTCTCTCTCTCCGCCGCGACGAACCTCTTCTTTCCCCGGCCCCATCCACGACAATGTGCGAGTGGTTCCCCGGCGACGAAGTGGCGGCCAACGGCTTCGGCCGCCGCTCGCTGTAAACGTGGAAGGCGCACCTGCTTTTCGAGGCCAACGTTCCGGCGTCTCCAGACATGCGCGTTGGGCCGACAGGATGGAGGCTCAGCGCCGGAGGCGTCCCCACCCCCCCTGCCGGACGTCGTCGCGCACCCCGATTACTTCGCCGGCGAGGTTGGCCGCGTTCGGTCGTCGCTGACCAAGGAGCAGCGCGCCTCCCCGCAGTACACCGACGACAACCACGAGGCGTGGGCGGCGTACTTCCAGCGCCGCCAGGAGCAACGCCTCGCCTCTACCAATGGGGCGCCGGTGGTGGCGGGCGGCCGGTGGAACAGCGAGGGCCGACGCCTGTGGTGGTCCGTCCCCGGCCGGACGCTCCGCGAGGTTCTCGCGCACCTCTAGGGCGGCAACAACCCGCCGCTCACATACCCTCGAGGACCGGCCGTCGCTCTGGTGCCCCGCCGCGGCGCCGGGCAATGGATGCCAAGGAGGTTTGTCTCCGATTCGTCGTCCTCGTCCCATTCCTCCTTCCACTCCTCTTCCCACTCCTCCGGCTCTCCGACGGTATTCGGCGTCAAGGCCGAGCCCACAGCGGAGACCCCGCTCGGCCGACATCATCATCAACGAAGGCGGCAGCCGCGCCTTGTCCTCGGCTCCTCCTCGACTCGTCAAGCCGAAGACGGAGCCCGGGCTCGCCAGCGGCGTCAAGGAGGAGGCGCTCGACGACGAAGCGGCCCTCAAATGGGTGCGCAACGACTGGGTGCACACGGAGAGGGAGCGCCAGTGCGCCGCGCTCGCGCGGTTCAAAGCTCATCACCATGGCCGGGACGAGGGAGGCATCGTCGTCCTCGACGATAGCGACGACGACGACGCGCCGCCACCGCCTGTCCGCCATGGAGACGCCGGGCAAGGGTCCAGCAGTGGCGGCTGTGCCATCAAGAAGGAGAAGGCCGCCGCCGACGATGAGGACGTCGGCGACTTTGCCGCGCTGATCGAGTTCTTCGCCCCGTAGATTATTTTTTTAAATAATTTATGTAAAACACCGAACATGTTTAATATGAATATCAAGTTTGCCAAATTTTAGCTGAATTTTAGCCGAACTTCGCCGAATTCATCTTTTTTAAAATAAAAAAACACGTCCGAGACAACCCCGGGGCGAGCGGCTGGGAACCCGCTCGCCCCCGCGCCGATTTAAGCGCCGGCTCGCCCCCAGGGGGCGCGTAAAATCGCCGCCTGGGGGGCCAACGGCTGGAGATGCTCTAAGACCCTATAGGACCAGCACCCAAGAATAACAACCGCCGCCGATGAAAAAATACGTAGATCGGAAGGATCCAAACTGAAGACACACGAACGTAGACGAACAACGACGAGATCCGAGCAAATCCATCAAAGATAGATCTGCCGGAGACACACCTCCATATGCCCACTGACGATGCTAGACTCATCGCCGGAACGAGGGCTAGACGGGGAGACCTCTATTCCATCTTCAGGGCCACCACCGTCTCGTCTTCCTGAGTAGGACACAAACACTAGCAAGATTAAGAAAAAACAACTAAAAACGAAGCCATGCCAGCCCTTGCCAGGATCCACCGCGCCTCCATGGCTTTAGGGCCACTGAAGACGAGGCGGACCTACGCCAGCGCCGGTGAGAGGCACAAACCCTAACTTTTTTTTTTGGAGAAGGAGGAGGAGCGGAAGATCTGGCTCTAGGTACATGCGTGAGAACTTTTATCAAATCTGGGCGCATCATCTATTCACCGAGATGTGTGCATACTTTTTTATGACCGGCAAAGTATACAATCTTCGGCCGTGCT